TTTCACTGGTAGATTAGGGACGGCTAGTGCAGATAGCCCTCGTGTAGCTTTGCGCGAAATTCAAAACAAACATCCTTATAAGACACGATATATACTGAAAATAATACTAACATAACATCTTGTATTATCTGGTGTAAATGTAATATGAATAGGTTCAACAATCAACTAATCATACTGCTTGCTCCATTTTCACACAGCACTACAGGCAGACCAACAGATGAACAGGCAGCAAGATGGAAGTTCAAGGAACTCGACCTTAACAATAACGAGGTTGGTTTAACAATCTCACTGTTTAGAAGTCGTAAGAATAATGTGGGTAGTTAAAACCCTAATAAAAGTTACTGTTGCAATATAAAACGCTTAGGCTGATTCAACCAAGGAGGCTTTTGTTTGCCACAACCCAGAGGAACTTTCGTATGACGCTGGAACTCGTCAGTTTGGCTTGACCTGAAGTTTTTTGTTTTGTTTTTTTGTTTTGTTTTTGTGGTGCTATTTTTCAGAACAAAAATCGGAACTGCAGTTTTTTGCACATCTCTGATTTAAAACCCGTCATAGATCAGTTTGAAAAATGTGTTATGATTATCTGCAATCGTAGGTGATTTTCATTCGACTTAATCCGTCCCAGTAAAGGTTGCTATGAAAAAGGAAATCGAAAGAGCGCCGTATATGTCACGGTTTGATACTAATACTCCTTGTAAACATGTATATGTTGTTATTAACACGATGATTCATCGTGTGCATCAAAATCTGAACGACATCTTGAGTACATAGGTTGCTACCATAGCAACAGTAGTGTGTGTATCCTCATAGAAAACTGTTATGATATGTAACTTAAAAGACATTACCATCCTAACAATTTGTATACTTAGCAGCAGTGGTTTGTGTTACTTTCACTGACTACTAAGCCTGACTTACTGACTTTCACTAAGATATAACTAAAATTTTTAATGAAGACTGAAAATCATTAGCTTATCAAGAGCAATGTATTTAAAATAAATCCAAACATGGGATGGTTATATTTTCATTAGGTTCTCTATTTTACGCCGCCTATGCCTGATGAATTCACAATTATCAGTGTTCGTGTTACCCCTATGTCAATTCTCTTAACGTAGTGAAATTGTTTTAGCGAGTTCGCTACATATTGATGTCATGATAGATTTAGAGCGCGATCGTGCGAACTTTACCTCTTTATGGTGAATCCTGGCTTATGGCTGGTCTTTATCCCATTATGTTAAATCCTGGTTTATGGCTGGTCTTTATCCCGTTATGGTTAATCTGACTTATAACTGATCTTTATCCCTTTATGATGAATCCTTGCTTATGGCTGGGCTTTATTCCTTTATGTTAAATCCTGGCTTATGGCCGGTCTTTGTCCCTTTATAATGAATCCTGACTTATGGTAAATCTGGCTTATGGCTGGGCTTTATTCCTTTATGTTAAATCCTGGCTTATGGCCGGTCTTTGTCCCTTTATAATGAATCCTGACTTATGGTAAATCTGGCTTATGGCTGGGCTTTATTCCTTTATGTTAAATCCTGGCTTATGGCTCGATACATTTCAGTCGAAGTCACTAATCTGTATTGTAGAGACTTATCTTTCAAACAAATTAGTATTTTTAGGTCTAAGTATTATAATGAAAGACGACTTTAAGTCACAGATTTTGTTTTCTGTCAATCTTGTTCATTAGTCGATTATATATATATATATATATATTCAACCTGAGATGTGTGAAAACATACTACTTTCGACTAGAGTATTTTCATCATTACTTCCTAGACTGCAACCCAAGGAACGAGCCTTTCTACTTATGATTCTGTGCAAGTGTCAAAAAATAAAGCTGTCCATGAAAAAATTGAGCCCCCCAGTGGCACAGCAGTATGTCTGTGGACTTACAACGCTAGAAACCGGGTTTCGATATCCGTGGTGGGTAGAGCACAGATAGCCCAATGTGTAGCTTTGTGCTTAATCACAGACAAACAAACACAGAAACTAAATTAATTCGGAGAGTCGGTTGTTTAGTTACGTTTGAAAAGTATTTCACTTCTGTCGTAGTATGATGGTTAGAATAAAAAGTGAATACATAATGAGTACTGCTTATACAATCGCAATTTTTAATAAAAACGTCCTCTGGTGTCCAGATTTATAATAATTGTTTACATAAATATTAGTTGGAACGTATGAAGAATTAACTGCTGTTTTTTTTTTACTACCTTGACAATTTAGTTCCATGGCAAACCACTGAATATTGAAGTGTGGTCTACCGGAATGTTTCTCAAACTGTGTACGGCGAAATTTGTACAATTATTAAGTAGTTTTTATTTAGTAATTTAAATTTGTTATCAATTTAATAAATTTTAAAAATTTCTCATTTTATTTGTTTTCCTTCTTGATACATAGTATAACAGTAATTTCTGTTTATTTACATGTGCCGCAAAAAGTTAGGAACATTAAAAGTGTGCCGCGAGCTGAAAAAGTTTGAGAAGTACTGATCTACCGTAGTTGTTAAAAAGTGTCTTACTAGCAAGTGCCCCCAGTGGCACAGCGGTATGTCTGCGAACATACAACGCTAGAATCCGGGTTTCGATACCCGTGGTGGGCAGAGCACAGATAGCCCATTGTGTAGCTTTCTGCTTAATTACAAACAAATACAAATACAAACAAATACTAGCAAGCGCTAGGAGGATAGCCCTTTCGTTCAATTGGTAGAGCACTCGACATATGTGCAAGAAGTCTCGTCGCCATTTTGTTTTTGGTAACTTGACAGTTCGGTTCTACTGTGTGGATTTTCGTCATTGACCCATTGACTGAATTGTGATCTAAAGCCGAATTGTAGGAGTTCGAGTTTTTAAAAAGTGCCTTATTAGAGGGATAGCTTTCTAGCTTAGTTGGGTGACTAGTTTTATGTAGTGTAGTTTTGTGATACTAAATTTGTGCTTGAGGTAAGTTACTTGTATATATTTTTTGTATAGTGAATAATATCTCTCATCTTTGATGAGTGTATTAAAAAAACACTCGCCTGGTATGCAAGAGGTGTCAAGTTCCAATCCACGACGAAGAAATATGTGCCATGAAAAAAAAGGAAAATGCCACAGGACCGAGGTCAAAGACTAACACGTTAATATTATGTGAAGACTATATTAGATTATCTTGAAACTGTACCTCATTTTCCAAGGAAGATACAACACGAGTGAGTGGCTGAAATAATTGAATCAGAGAAAGGAATTGAGTGTACGCTGATTTTTAATATTAAGTGAACTTCGGGGCGATAGACCTAAAAATAAAAGCGTAACGCAGATTATAAGCCTATTTTAATTTATTTTACCCACAAATAAAACAGAGGTTGTGAACTAAAACGTGATTTTTGTTTCGTTTGTTTCGGTGTAATGTTTCTTCAAAGTTTCTTTAATAATGAGAACTGGTTTATTTTGTATACATATTTAAAAACTACAAACTACAAAAAAGGTCCTAATACCTATCAAGGTACAATCATTATTTTCGAAGATTTACGTTCAAAAATGTTTTGAAAAAAAATCACTATTATAAAGTATGTAAATTAACCAATGCTAAATTTTAAAATAGCGTATTGTAAGTTCTTATATGCGTATAATTTTACTTTTCTTTTAACACGGTAGGTTTTAGAACGAAGAAGTAAAGAATGGAAAACGTTTCGCACTTCCTGGAGACGCTTTAGAAAATCTAAAAGAAGCCGAAAGAGGTTGAAAAAGTGCTGGAGAAACCTGCTTTGGTACTGCGACAAAATAGGTAACGACGACAAGAATATCAGTTTGGAGGAATGGCTAAAGTGTATAGAAGTTAAAAAAGGTAAGAGTATGAATATTAATTAACCCACTAGTAACTAGTAACAGCGAACTTTATTACTAATGATAAGCCTCCCAGTGGCACAGCGGTATGTCTGCGGACTTACAACGCTAGAAACCGGGTTTCGATACCCGTGGTTGGCAGAGCATAGATAGCCCATTGTGTAGCTTTGTGCTTAACTTAAAACAAATAAACAAACTAATGATAAATGACAATATCGTATGTTACTACGTGATAAGCTCCATTTAAGACGTATTTTGTGAGTATTAACAACGTTTTGGAACATAAATGTTAAAATATGTCACTTATATGCTTATTTCTAACCTTCTAGTTAACAATATGGGCAAGTTTTTCGTCGATTTGAATTAGGTGCCCGCCATGACCAGAAATCCCCCGTCCTACCAAACATGCTCGCCCTTTAAGCTGTAGGGGCGTTATAATGTGCGGTCAATCCCATAATTCGTTGGTAAAAGAATAGCCCAAAAGTTGGCGGTGGGTGGTGATGACTAGCTGCCTTCCCTATAGTCTTTCACTGCTAAAGTAGGGACGGCTAGCGCAGGTAGCCCTCGTGTAGCTTTGCGTGAAATTCAAATCAAACCGATTTGAATGAAAAATTATTAGATTTTTACTTCCAGAGAATAGACTTCAGAACCTGTTTTTGTTAATTCTAAACTAATGCCTTCTGTAAAATAAGATACTTAAATATTAAGTTATGCGAACTGTATTTATCCACATGCTAATCAAATCTCATTTCCCTAGATTCATGACATAGTACTGTGTAGAATTCTGGCCTATAGGTGTCAACATGAAAAAAATAAAACACCATTTGTTATGGACAAAAACGACAGCACGCCAAGTTGTTTTTTCAAAACACATGTCCACACTTTCGCTGGGTCACACAGATAATTATAAAATACTGTGAATATTCAAAATATGTGTAGTATTTGTTTACATGAGATTTAAATTGTACTGGTTACTTAAATATTTGTTTCAGCAGCGTCGAAACCTTGTTGTTCCAGAAGACATTTTTCAATATATTTAATACTTATAATATCTATTGTTTTATGTTACAGATGAAATACGCAAACCAGATGATACTCCAAGAGGAAAAAATCCTTTTGACAGAATACTGAAACCTCTACAAGTACATTAGCCCGTTTCTCTGTTCATTCTTCAGTTTGCTGCCACCAGTGAGTGCAAAACTTCAACTTCATTCAAAGAGCTACCAATTCTCTGTGATCAGTGCCATCTAGACAATTCTCTCCAATTTTTTTTATATTATTATACTTTGAAAACAACAAAATAATGTTAAATACGTAAAACCTGAAATATAATTTTTATGTCACAAGTTATAAAAAAATAACACTCACCGTAACTTTTTGTTTTTATACATTGTCTCTATCAGCACCAGTACTAGTCGTTGTAGATCGGGTACAGACTATCATCGTCTGCCAGCTCTTAGTGTCATCTGACGTTCAATAATATAACTTACGAAATAACATCTTTAACTAATATACTGAACTTTTATTACGTATAACTAGTGCTGTGCCTGAACAGACGTGTGATTTGGGGAATTGTTGATTGTAAAATGATTTGACATTTTTCTCGGGACGCACAAGATGATTTTATTTGGAGATGAATTTACAAGACACGTGAACCTTGTTAACATAATTTTTTTTAAAAAGAAACTCAAATACTAAAAACAATTTTTTCTTAAATTATCCCAGCAAGTTTAAAAAATACTTGCAACTGATAATCTTTATTTAGGTTTAAATATAAGGTTTAAAAATTTTGGCTATGAAAGATGAATAGTACCTAAAATATTTTCTAGAAACAGCTAAAGAAAAATAATATGTAAACGATACCGTTTTAATATATCTTTGTCCTATATTTAAATATTTCTTTCTTTATTTGCAAAAATATTTAGGTTAATTACTCTTTCTCTCTTTTATACCGATTCTCACAATTTGAAAAAGCATTATTGTAAGTTATAACACGAAAGATAATACGCGATTTCAGAATAAAAACTGATTGTTTTAAATATTTTTAAAGTTTTACGTGTATGTGTGGAAAAATCATGTTGTAAATTATGTCTTGGGACTATTACCGTTTAAGTATTTGGCTACGCAGTACAGAGAGAGAACATTTTCTTATACCGATTTAACGTCATTGGATAATATTTATTATCACAGATTATCAAAAACAGCCCTAGCCTTATTTGTTTTCCCATACTTAGATAATTTTTACATTCTACACTTGACTTTGAGATATACCTATATAGTAAGTAGTGGCATCTTTTTCTTCGATTTTATTTTCATTTTTAACATCCTTAGTTTGTAGGTGTTAGTAGCCATGAACATTAAGATTAGCACTGATAAGATGTGTTGTTGTGTTAACAGATATGTGCTAAAGGATAGTTAAATACTGAAGATGATTTTGTGACTTCATACAAGTTCATTGAGTTTTTGATGGGTATCTTTTATAAATAGATCATGTATAAATATAACTTTTTTATTACTTCGGTATGAAAGTGCACGTGAGGTTTTAGCGATAAAATTCATGGTAGATTCTAACTTTATCAAATGTTTTCAGTTGCGTTAGAACGCCGATTTATGTTCAGATGTTCTTTTATTTTACTTACATTAAGATAGAATTCAATGAAATATACACTTAGAAAGTTTCTAACTTAAACATAGAAGAATTCAGTGAAATATACGTTTAGACAGAGGCGTCGCTGGCACACGGGGCCCGTCCCCCGAATCCCCAGTTGGTGTCTTGAAAAATCACAATAGAAAACCATGATTTATATCAGCGGTTCCCAACCTTTTCACAACCCCCATGTTTTTTGAGATTCCATCTACCCAACCAACTATTTTTCTTACTAATAATTAACTTGTTTTTCCATTTTTCACTATCAAATAAAAGACATATATAACTAAGTGTGCAATTAAAAGAACAGCAGAATCAAAAAACTTACTTGTTTAATGAGATGGTATTATCTTTGCGGACCCCAAGGGGATCGGGGACCACAGGGTGGGAATCACTAATCTATATCATACTGAAACGCCGAAAATAACCGCGCCTATGGGGCCCAAGCCCTGAATCTTTTACGCACCTAGCGACGCCTTTGCTCTTAGAAAGTGTTTCTAATTTAGGATAACCAAGCCAGATAAGGTGAGATCATGTTTTAAGGTGTTTTGTACAATATTTTGCCATGTAAAAATCTTGATCTTCAAAATCATCATAATTATTAATAGTTTCAAATTGATACCACTGTTTTTAGCTTTTCTTGGCCAGGTTGTTTCAAATCGGCATTGATTTTATCTAGCCATTAGTTTATATTGTAATTGTTGTAACGACGGTCAGTTATACAAAAACATGTGATTACGTTGTATTGTATGGTAACCTGTGTACGAACTGTTTGTTAATGTAGATTTAATCAAAAATCGCAACCAAAAGTACTTTTGCAGAATGCTCTAATGATGAAATATGAACCATAATACTGTCAGTATCGGTAATACTTTACTCTCAATTAAAATCGAAGTACTGTTGACAATTTTCATGATTTTAGTAACTGACATTCAGTCTCTTCACAACTAGAAAATGTGCAGAAGTCAAAGAAAGTAGTCCCTCGTGTTTTTGTCACGATCATTTTGAAATCAGAATGTTCAAATATAGCTGAAACCACGCTAAGCCTAGTGCTGTCAATTAATCTTGAAAATTTGTATCGAGTACTATCGAATAAGCTGTAAAGCGAAATGTCGAGTAAAGTTTTAAGGTTATTTTCATACTATTACTTGTTTCCTTTCAATAATATTATAGAATTAAACACTTTTAACTTCTCTTATATTTAATAGTATCTACATTTTTCAAGTATAAAATATTATATTACCTCAAACCAAAACTACTGTAGGGTGCTATCATGTGAGGAGCATCTTTTGATGATTTTTTGAGCTATTGAAACATTATATAATCTAAACAGAACTACGTTAGGATATTATTATATCATGAGAAGCTTTTACTTTTTTTTTCAGATATATAAATATCATAGAACACAAGCACAGTTATGGTGGATGTTATCATCTGAGGAGAAGCTTGTAGTTTTTTTTTTTGTTTTTGCTATTACTACGGGTTAATTTTAATTGACGTAATCTGTTGTAAACAGATAGAATACCTTCACCTATATTGTTTTTACTGGCTATACTCTCCACATGCAATTCGATATAGTTCCCTTGATAATTAGTATCTTGCTTCTTCTCTCATTATAGATAGGCTGTTTAAAACACAAATATAATCTGTTGTAAGTAATTTCTGATAGCAAATTTTAGCCAAATGTGGTCTATTTTTTCCTGAATTTATATATATATATTATAATATTGTATATAGCTGTGATGTGCATTTTTTATTTAGTAAGTTTTTATTACAAAGTCTCTTACATCCTATTTTCCTGAGTGAATGTGTCAGACATGTTTATTGTATGTTTGCTTGATTTGCTGTGCCATAATGTCCTATACTGTGTAGTCTTAGATTAATGCTAAGATTTTATTGTTATGGTTATATCTACTCAGTGTATATCATTCAGTGTTAGGAAATTTTGAACATGACCTGGTTTCTCACGTATTAAGTTATTTTCCCATCACGTGGATGCTAATAAAATTTTGAAAACCGTAATATTTTTGTGCTATTTTATTTATGTGTGTGCGTGATAATTTATTTGGAAGTCCCTTGGTGACTCAGCTGTAAGCAACATAGCTTATAACGCAAAAATTCTGGGTTCATTCTCCGCGGAGAACATAGCCCAGATGGCCGTTTTGTAACTTTGTGTTAAAGAAACAATAATTTATTTCTTACAAGTTGGAGAATGTTGGTGAATAATGAGGTTCTAATGCAAATAATTATTAAACAAGAACTTCAAAGTAATATATATATATTCCAGCTTTTTATCTCTACTTGAAATTTCGACTAAATTATTGTCAATACTGTGATGTTTGGCAAATTTTGTCAACTATGAACATTATTTGAGGGGTTTTTATTATTATTATAAAAGCATGGGGATGGGTGTCGGGTTATAATTAGAGCCATAGAAATCAATTGTACAGTTTGTTTGACAGCTTCTACCCCTGTTTTTTTAAGCATTAATCCTCTTACACGACAAAACAAAGGCCGCACAAATAAAATCAATCTGACATTCACATGAATAATTTCCTCCTGGTCACGCCCCCCAGTGGCACAGCAGTATGTCTGCGGACTTACAACGCTAGAATCCAGGTTTCGATACCCGTGGTGGGCAGAGCACAGATAACCCATTGTGTAGCTTTGTGCTTAATTACAAACAAACAAAACCTCCTGGTTCACTTTAATTTTGTAGCTCATAGAATGGCTCCGAGTTTTTTATATCAAGTACAAAATTTTAGCTCATACCTCGGTCATCTCTTAATCGATTTAAGATCTAATTGACTCTAATCTCACCTAAAAGAATTTCGATTTAAGGGTAGGCTCGTAGAGATCCTGACGAGTAATAAAATCGAAGCGTCCCACGCTTAGTATTGCTGACGCACAAAAATGTAACTAATAAAAAGGAAAAAAAATGTCTCATAGATTTATTTATTCTAATCCTGCCTAAAAGAATTTCAAGTGCTGCGGCTATTGAGTATTCCCTCTTATTTATTTTTAATCATAAACTCGGTCTAAGTTGTTCTGATTTGTTATATTTTAATCAACTATGATTTATGTCTGGTTATGTAATTCGATAAGAGAATGCGAGAATTCTTGTTCTTCGCAATGTTTCAATCGAACGTAGTATGTGGATGCCTCCGTCAGGTGGAGTTAATGTTATGATACTATAGATATGAATTATATCCGTGCAGTTTTCTTTTCGTAAATAATAAAAAAATCGTTGTTAACGAATTGGAAATTATTACTAGCGAAAACTTTTTGTTTGCCAGTCTGGTGTTATCAGTGCAAACTTCCAAGTTTTTGACATTTTAATGGGCCTAGTTTCATATCGTGCTATATCATCTACACAAACGTCTCTTTCTTGCCCTGCACAGTTTGTAATGTGTTCGTTTTACTGTCTGTTATCTGACAATTGGTAAAAGCTGTTTGCTGATGCTTCTGCTAAAAACGGTTGGGTTAAATAGGTCTTTATCTCAGAAATGAATGGAACTTTGTACCCACGAGGGTGGTTTGCTTCTAATTGCATGAGCTTCTTCTCAAATGAACATTGGTGGAACGTATCATACACACCACAATAAAAAAAAAAGACTTTGATTTTCTATTCATAAGGACCAATATCCCACGTTTTGAATACCTAGCCCATCCAAACTTTGTTTGTACCTGTTGCGTCATCGAGATCACGTGACTATTCTCACGCTCTCTAGTTTCTGGAACTATCCCGTACCTTGGCGAATGCTCTAGTATTTACTAGATAGTGTAGGCTGGTATATATAAGAGGGTGACAACGTGACGCAATAATGTGTGTGTAGATAGTGAGTAATTGAACTGCAGTCATAGGGTATTGTTGAAGTTAACGTTCGTTCGTTATAGTGTTTGTTTTAGCGCGAATATTGAAATTAAGTGTATCGTAAAGTTATATTCGGAAAGAATAAACCAGTTTTATTAAGTAAAGACTTGCGTCGTCAAAGTTTCGTTGGAACGAAATTACGGAAAAATCAATTAACAAACGGAAACGTAACAGTACCTTTAATATTCGAAATGTCAATTAATCTAGCCAAATCAATTTCCCTGCTTAATGTGACACTTGGATAACTTTTACATGCCTTGCGTCTCATCCTCAAGTCTCTAGTATACTTTTACTAGTAATACAGATATATATGTATATAAAATCAAATCT